ATGGGCCCACTCCTCTTTTTATTCATGTTAATGATGTTTCTTCTATAATTCGAAATTCTTCTTTTCTTTTGTATGCCGACGACATAAAGATATTTAGGAATATAGACTCAGTTATGGATTGTTGCTACCTTCAATATGTGTTGTGTTTGTTTTTTTTTGAATGGTGCAGGAGCAATAACCTCTCTCTAAATATTTCAAAAACCAAGGTAATCAGTTTCACTCGAAAAACATCTAGTGGGCCATTTTTGTATTCCGTCAATTCTGTGTCGTTGTATAATAAGGTATGCGAGATCAATGAAGGTGTTCATTTTGATAGCACCTTACACTTTTCTGCTTACGTTAAGCGTGTATCTTTGAGGGGTATTTGCACTCTAGGCTGTGTTTGTAAAATTTCTAAACAGTTAGCCCATCTTTAGCCATTGGCCGATAGATAGGCTAATTACGAGTGATTTTTAGGGTTATTTTGTGACTCATCAAGAAAGAGAAAGCAATTTTTAGTTGAAATAACTAATTTACTGTGAATTCCAGGCCACGCGCTGCGCTTTAATATTTGGCTCGCGTGTTGTCGGAAGCCTCTACTACCGTTCGGAAGCGCTTTCTGACCATGCTCAAAAAGTGTTCCAGGGCCTCTTTATTACAAGAAAATATTGTAATCAAAGGTTGTCAGATATATGTACACAAATAAACGTTTCGAAATGTGCTTAGGACATGGTAAACTTGTCCTAAGCAGGCTTGATGCCGGGAAAGCAATCGCGTTAATACGAGTTATAAAGCCTTTTAAAACAGTGAAATGACAGCCAGTCGTCGCAGAATGCGAATAATGGAACGAGTGGGTCGTCCAATTCTCCAACCCATTACAAGGGGATGTTTTTGTTCTGCTTTTAACTGTAGTGCATACCTACTTCAGCCATAGTTCTTCATTGTCGCCAGCCACTGCAGGAACAATTGGCACAAAATTCCTCGCAATAGTTTAAAGGATACCACCCTTTTCAAAAGAATGACAAAAATAGCATGGCGAAAGCCGGCCTACTACCATACCATTTGTATTATTAATTCCGTAGTGGGCATCAATCAAGTGTGCTTGAAGCAGTTACCCATAGAGTGTTTAGAAACGCCAGGCCTGCCGCAAAGACCTGGCGTTTTTTTTTTTTTTTTTGGGGGGGGGGGGGGTTAGGCGTCACTTTGCTGTTCACTCCTGCTTGACTGGTACTTTTTGCACTGGCATTCCGCCACCGCCGGCAAAGTGTGCTTGCCTGTTATCTGTTCGCGTTCAGTCGCCCGGTTAGAACTTAGAGTGTAAGTGACTATCAATGATCGAGGTATAAGAGAGGGTGCATAATATGAGCAAAATTCAACCTTGTTATATCGAGGTAAAGAATAAAAATATTTGGTCAAGGGCCACAAATTGTAGGTGCGAAACAGTGCTCTTTCTCCTCTTCTTGGCCCCATGGACAGACTTCGTCCACGTTTTGAAAAAAAAAACTATAGACATCAAATGAGATGCGAACGGCTAATTGCGTAACCCAAGCTCTAATGACGCTATAATGCGTGTTGTTAAGTACTAACCAATAAAAGGCGCGCTCATCCGTATAGCTAGCGGGGAGCAATCAAGAACATGCAGCTCAGCAGAGACGGGCTCAAGAACCCAAAAAGTGGCCCTAATATTTGCTAGCGAAAGCTATTGGACTAGCCAATATCAGCCAGACGGTGAAAAACGTCGCCCAGTATTGTCTTGGAAAACATAATTATTGATGAAGAGCACTAAAAGTGGCCCAATGTGCATAACCAGAATCAAACTCTCAGCCAACAATGGCTTACTGCCTATAATATTGTGCGTAATGAGGCCTCACACGCCGAAATTCAGAAACAAACAAAAAGAGAAAACCAACAATGGCCTGGCGTGTGCTGCCTAGGTGCTCGAAAAAAGGCCCCATAAAACACCTGTACAATGTTCGCAACAAGGTTGGGCTGGACCTCACTTCCCACACACCAAGTAGTTTTAAAGAAGTAAGCAGCCACTTTAACCTCCTTAAACCAGGCTATGGGAAATTTGTGCAATGTACAGGACATTGTAATACAGCGTACCGCAGCTTTCGAGCGCTTGCCTACTTCAAGAAAGCGTTTTCTCGGATGCTTTTAGAACATGTGCTGCCATCTAGCAAATATAGCGAAAGTCTGTGCGTTTTTGTGCCTTTCAGGAGCACTCCAAATGACGGGATTGAACACAAATGATTTTTACTAATGCCGCCTAATTAGGCAGTGAATCTATATTTATTCTTGTATGTTTTGAAGCGTGTATAAGCACTGATTTATGGTCGTAAGAGGTTGAAGCACGCAAATCACTTATTATATCAGCAAACATTTCATAAAGGTTGCATGCGTTGAGAATTTATGAATGTCCAATATAATGAGCATTAGTTCAATTTGACCACAAATACACGACAGTACTCTCGTGCGCTCTGTCGGCGCTCTACGGAGAGGAATACGTTTTTTGCTGCAGATCTTTCTTTATATCCAAACTTCACCTATTTACTTTTGTTGATAATACACCCTGCGTGAGTAATGCCACAACTGAGAAAAAATTGCTGACCCTTAATCTTCATCTTTACGAGTTGAACCCGATAGCGATATCCTGTCTCCAGTGCAATCTCTGTAATGCGTAGCGTGAATGAAACCACGAGTAATCATGTGCATGAAATGTTTTCGAACTTGCTATGTACCATCAACGTAGCCTTCGTAGAATACGCACCATAACGTGTGCGTCTTTTGTAAGGGATGGCTGGTTTTAAACCCGGAAGTTGTTATAATCAAAGGAGGTAATTAAAATCAAGCCCGATGGCAATGTACGCTTGTATCAGACAATACTATCGACAGCGGTATTACATCTTGGATGTTGAAGCCTGTATACAGGACGCATATGTTTGTAAAGCATGGAGGTGATTTTGACCGCATTTCCGTTCAGAGGATGTTCTTCTGGATGCTTATTCAAGTAGACGCCTGATCGTTTTGTTTCTTTTATTTTTTGTGTGTGATGGAACACCTGCTTGTCACGCAAACACCCCGAGTTCAATACTTATTTGGATTCTAATTAATTACTTATTTTTTTACGTCTTCCTCGTTTTTCGGTCACGGACAGGATGATTTTTCGCTCATAACGAGCAATGCCAATGGCGGAATTTCGGTGAAACGAGCTCTTTCATGCTAATCTTACAATTATTGATCATATTTTCGGTTTTATAGGTAGAAATAATAGCATATTTGTCCTGTATATTTTGGTCACTGGCTTCAACTGCCCTAGAGTCCCAATGTCCAATTGCTGCTACAAAGTAACAAAATATGTTAAAAAACTGCGTGAATCTTTTCACCTTTGTCCTCAGGAAAAGCAGTTCTGAAAAGTTCAACCAAAGTTCATGACCTTAAAGTCACTCTAGGTCTCAGAAGGTTTTGAAGCCAGGAATTAAGGCGTATGCATCATGGATATTTGCTCCGCGCAGGCACCTTTCAATTTTTACCAAGGAACAATTTCTTTTTTACCGGGATCAACAAAATGCCAAACCCGTGCTTCCAACAAATGTGGGTGGCCAGGGCATATTGCTAAGTACGGCCACCGCTGCAAGCAGCAAGCTCAGCAATTCAACGTTCGGTGCCCCGCACACCCTCTCATAAGCACCGATCATTTAGTCGTTCCTCTCAACAGCAACACGCAGCAAGCGTGACTCTCCTTTCTCAAACCACTTCACTACACTACCGCCACTTCGAGAACCACAATCTGTGTCACCATGTTATTGCTCGGTGTTACATCCTCACCTGGATCTGGTGAGGCCACAGAATCAACTTGCCCGAGACTCCGTAGTGTAAGTTTAAGAAGAAACAGTGTTCTTCTGTAGATTATTTGAGCACTGTTACTTAAATAATATTAACGTTGTACTTTCTATAATAAACTTGTCTTATAGAAATCGCCATGGGACAGACCTAATGATTGCTTCAAATTAGAACGCTACCTTCCGTGGGTTCTGGGGAGAATCATTGCACCCGTATGGTGATTACTGTATTTTTTTGCCATAGAAAATTAGGTTTAGAGAATAATTACCTGTACATGGATGCGCAGCTCATGACTTCATTTGCCTTAATTCTGTATCAATCGATTTCAACTGCCGGCACAAGTTCAATTCGCCACACCGTGGCCGCTCTGTTGACGAATGATACCAGTCGAGACCGCTAGGATGTGTTTTTAACGCCGCAATGCATCTTTTCATCCTAAACGACCGCAATGTTTGTGCGACTAAACTCTCAACGTATTCGTAAGATTTCTTACTGTGGTTTGTCCAGGCTGAATTTTAACAACACACTAAAGAACATTATTCAACCATGCCGTCTCATGTTCGCTGTCTATGGTAGGAGCTGCTTGTGGACAGTGAAAATTTTAGCACAGCCAAAATATCTATCTACCTTGATTTCTCAAACCAGCAAGCTTCGATCAGTGAATCACTGTCACCCTTTAGGCAACTGAACTACCAATGGCCGTAAGGAAATAACATTCACAGTCGTGCCCTCACTATTCTGCGATTATTTGGCGCATGATCAACAAGACGCTTCCTTCTACAGAATGGTGTCTCCGGCATGAGGCGCTCGCAGGTTAAACATCAGTGTTCGGCTTAGCGCAAGACGAGACATGAACCGCTACTAAGGCATAGGCTGGGTGAGAGGAGGGGCTTATGAGGTTTCAGCTCTTTCCTACACCCCCAATGTTTTTCTCTTGTCATGAATCACCCATCACAACAGTGACCTGCTCCGGAAGCCATACTGAATTGTCGCAAGCATTTTAGTCGTCAAAAATACTGCGGTGCGACCATTTCTAAGCCGCTAGGCGTCAGAAGTGGTATCAGGCTTCGCAACGCACCATACCTTCAAAAATACCCGGCATACTGAGCCGCAGTGGCACAGATTGTCATTTTGTGGCACCGAAGCGAACTTACTGTGAAAGTTATTATTAAACCAACTTAGTGTACAGGCTTTTATTGATTATTTGGGCAGGTTTTCAGTCGGCAAGATCATAGAGTTTGGGTGACATTCTTTTTCTTCTTTCGGCATTCCGGGATATATACCGTTCGATTTGTGTCACCAATGCGGCGCTTCCCTATTTCCTCATTGTACCTTTGTATACAATCCTCGCTAGGCCCTTTATTAAGCTGGGACTTCTTCACAATGAGGTCGAAGGTAACAGGCGCTGCAACGAAACAAAGATTCCGGATGAAATATTAGAAGCCACTGCCCGAAATTAGAGACTAGTGGTGACAAACAATTACGGTCATTACGCTTGGCAAAAATTATTCGCTGTTATTGCATAACTAATGAAAAATATAAAAAGAGCATTTATATCAGATTATTAGGCACCAAGACTACTGATTTCTTGGAAAATTGATATACCCAGCCTTCCAAAGCTCGTACGCAAGAAGGGAAGTTTTTATGAATATGTTAATGAACTGGCAACAGTTAAATGAACAAATGCTTGAAAAGAAAATCAAGAAGCCCATGTGCCACAAATTATCACATAGAACTCACAACAGTGGTCGTGTCAAAAACGAAGCATAACCAAAACGTGCATGTACCTTAAAGAACCATGCAGATAAAATTGCCGCGCATGCAGTTTCTCTATAACAATATCACTTCTTGTCGTGGCAGCGATAGAGAAAGTGCACATACACAGCTGTCATATCCGCGTTTTTGCATTTACTACACATCAGTTAGTTTGTCACATTGCGAGCATCCGCTACCATAGTCTCGGTATTGTGAAAAATGGGTCAACAGCCATACGCCCTGCAACCATCAGGCAATTTCACGTCTCTTCCTGAAGGCATTTGATTGATTGATTGATATGTGGGGTTTAACGTCCCAAAACCACTATATGATTATGAGAGACGCCGCAGTGGAGGGCTCCGGAAATTTAGACCACCTGGGGTTCTTTAACGTGCACCCAAATCTGAGCACACGGGCCTACAACATTTCCGCCTCCATCGGAAATGCAGCCGCCGCAGCCGGGATTCGAACCCGCGCCCTGCGGGTCAGCAGCCGAGTACCTTAGCCACTAGACCACCACGGCGGGGCTTCCTGAAGGCATTTTTGTTTTATGTTATTTCAAGCAAGAGTTAACACAGCACCCCGTGTGCCCTATGTACGCCCTATCACAAGAAATTGGTGTGCTATATGTGACATTTCTGATGCAGTCAATGAATTTTATAAAATATTGAGTGCTACAAAGGCCCTTTTTCAATCTTCTTAGTTGTTTTTAACCTTGTGGAAATAAGGAAGAAGCCTTTATGAGGCGACTGTTTTATCTGTGTGTTCTTCGAATTTGTTCGTTGTGGCATTGGCTACCGCCTTGAGGATGGTGTCGCGAAAGCCAATGCTTGCCGCCTTTAGTTACTCACTCGCTGACATAGTACTTTTTAGGAAGAATTGAGCGTACCATGAGGCATTTTTAAACCGCAGTTTCACTATGCTACTATACGCTCGCTTTAAGTGTGACTAATAAAACATGTATTTCTAAAAAAAGCTGCTAGCATTCTATGGAACGAATCTTCAATGAGCATTTTAAGAAACTAAACCCGGCTGGCTTTATAAACACCGCGCTGAAAGGAGTAGCCGAATCAAAATTGAAAAAGTTAAAAAAACAGATGGCATGTCACGTGCCTGAGAAGATGAGGTCTGTATGGGAGCCAAAGTCCTCCCTTACTTTCACAAGATTACCCACAATGCCAAAAAAATTGTCTCGAAGCATGACGCACGAGTCATGTTCTCGGTGCTAAGTAGGCTGTGATACCTCTGTGTTCACAGTTAGAACTTATGTTCAAGTGAAGTTTGTACCATTCATGATAACGAAAAATATTTGAGTGAATTAAAATTTAGTGTACCGCATACCACTTTCTTGTGGTAGAGTATACACGTGGCCGACGTGGCTTGATGTCATCACTCATGTCAAAGAACTTGATAGATCGCTCACTTCAGGAGGAGGCGATAATTTCTCTGCTGTATGAAGGGCAGGTGGCTGTTGAGCCATCTTTAATGAAACCGAGATTGTTGGTAGAAGAGCCACGGAATGTGAAAGAAGAGCAAGTGAGGCGTACCAAGCGCAACACACATGGGCATGATTGGTGTTTAAGTGTGCCTCCCTTATAGTTACTACGAAGAGGTGACGTTATTGTGTATTGAGCTGTCCTAAACAAATATTCAATTAAGCATGCGTTACCGATTTCAAACTGCGGAGTTTGTGGTAGGAGTGCCTCGTTGTGTGTGGTAGAGTGTCTTTGTCCCCCATCGGCGCTGAAGCCGTCGCCCATGTCGAGAGGAACAGGGCCCGTGAGCGCGTGCGCTGCTGTATGGTCCGATGCGATCGTGTTCAGTGAAATGTCCTTTATGATCTCATGTGTGGGGGTAACCACTTTAAGGTGTAAATAACAATGCCATAACTAGTGGAGCTGTTCAAAATCCTTGCGGCTTTCGTTGATATGAGGCCCCTTTGTAAGGCTCTGACTGCAGATTTTCAGTTGCTGTAGACCTCTTCACCCCGGCCATTCAGCCGAGTGAGTGCAATCGGCACTTGTTTGGCCACCTGTGGTTTTGTTGTGCGTACAGTGACACAGTTTGTAGTCGAGTCGGCATGGTCCGGGACCGCTGCTGGGAACTTCTTGGTGTATCGATGTGCTGCAGCATCCACAAAATTTTCATTTGCACCACCCTGCTCCTGTTGCTTCAGTAGAGTCGACGCCCTAACCCGACGACGTTGATCTTTCCGGAAATTGACACACGCCCTCCTGTGGCGGCTGCAAAGCATTATGGGAAACTGGAGTGCCGGAGGTGTGTATTCTTCTCACGGAAGCGTTGACTCACCCCGTTTTCCACAGCACGCGGGCGTACGAACACATCGTTGCGGGAATGTCGCGTGTCATAACCCTGCTTCAATCTGCACTCACAGAAGAGGCACCACCCAGAGCATTATGCAGACAGAAAACATTCGTATCCTTGACTTATTATAACGTGGGAAATTGCTCAGGTAACAATGAAAAGGCACGTCGAATTGGAAATTTTTCTCTGCTTTCGCGGCGAGTCCCCTGATCTTCTTGTATCGTATCTCCGCGTAGCGGTAATCGTCATTTGTTTTATCGTCAGTATGACCATACAGCTTCAATAATAGTTATTTTATGCCAGGAACTTGTGCTAGGAAATTGAAATGCGCTGTTGCTGATCCAAGCGTCTGTGTTAGTCATAACTTTTCTTCTCGTATGTATATGCGTACTTGAAGGCTAAGCTCATCGATTTTTCACGCTAGGTACTTATAGGCTTAGCACCACACTGTTCCTGTTTTATATTGTGAATTTGTCTGAGATTGTCTTAGCAAATGTATCTTTTTTATATTTTCATTCGTCTCTCTCGCAGTTATTTAAGTGGTTTTTGAGAAAATTGATGATGTGCTACGGAAAAAGAAACGTAAGTTGAGTGCTAGTCTTCATAGTATTAGTTTATATTTTGACGAAATTTGAAGGATTCTGAAGTACTTTAAAATACTTCAAAAGCATATCATAATGTTTATTGATGCCAAGTGTTATGAGAGCCATTAAGTTTGTATAAAGTGCGCTAATGCAAAGCAATGTTTGAGATGCTGTTGTGAGGAATGGCATGGTTATATAAAAATTTCATCTTTTTTAATTCGCCTGTATTATAAATGTATACATATGTATTCACTGAGCACATGAGAAGAGATGTTGCAGGAGTAAATGACCTTTTTCCTTAAACGATATCATTGAATAAAATACATTCAAAAGGTTTCTTTTGTGCAGTTTAGTTCTTAAACGTTTACTGTATAACTATCGTAAAAAACATTGCGTAATACGCACTGCTTTCCTTCAAAACAAGGTAAACATTCTCTAAGTCGAACCCCGCTGTATAAGAAAATTGTAGCTATCGTTGAATTGTCGTTATGCAAATTGTATTGTACTTACGCCAACCCCAAAATCTTTCAACTTGAAGAACGGCGCAGTTGTAGCCATTCGAGGCATAGACAATCTCCTTAGTCAAGCTGTCCCCCCAATCTGTGACGATGAAACGACGATCATCAAATGTCAGTCATACACGAAAGTAGGCTGCTGTAGTAGAAACGAGAAGCGGAATATAATAATTATAGTTCAATATTTTATTGTGTGTTTATCAATGTCACTGCATCATTAACTTACACTGCCGAAAATGGAACGTACCAGGTTAAGACGAATGGTTTTTTCACGAATTTTTTCACTTGGTCATATTTTACACCCTACATCTGACGTACGTTAAATACTTTACATTTAAGTCAAATCAACCCACCGAATAAAGACGGCAAACTATCGCATAGACTGAAGATCATAAACTAGCTGGAATGCATACCGTCCCTCACCGAATGCACTGATATCCCTCTAATACAAAAAACATATTTTTCAGCGAAAGCTGTTATGAGATCACAAATCGGGTCACGCGCACTTGTCCGCCATCGCCTGTGCCACCGGTGTCCGTAACCACATCGCGTGAAATTCGAAAAAAAATAGTGCCAATGACAAAGTGAGCCTTGAACCCGGTTCTGCTGGGTACAAGCCGAGTATTCTACCACTGAGCCACACCGTTTTTGTTTTGTGTTGCGTGATCCACACCGGTGCTTGGAACTTGTTGGCCAACGCGCCTTAGGCAGGCTTGATGTCGGGAAAGCAATCACAATAATAAGACTTATATAGAGTATGAAAAATTGGGGGACCCTTAAGCATCGCCTTTAAGAGCTGAACGCGATAAGGAAATACGGCCACTAGTGCATCCTTCAACCAGTACGTGCATACTTATTCATATGTTCTGTTACATACACACACACGCACACAAACTCGCACACAGTAAATTGAACTTGCACGTGCTATTGGCGCCAAATGGGTTCATTTTCGTCGGGACATCTGTCGAACAAAATGCGTAAAAGGGACCCTGAAACACTTTTAGGTGCGAATGCACTTTATAAGCGACCCTGAATCCGCCGTCCAAAGTGAGCCTCCTCCTCTCTCCTAGACGCGAGAAACGGATTGGAGCGTCTGTAGCAACGGTGCAGTGACTTCTCACATCACGTGATTGCTCGCGCTCCACCCTCCGCTCTGTGGTTGCGCGCGCAGCCACGACTTGCTCAAGATCGACAAGTAGTCATAGGTATGGATCCATCGCAGGCATCAACCTCGACTGCGATACCTCCAACAACGAGTACAACGCAGTCAAATGCGAGCATTACACGCGTCGTTGAAGATGTCGCGCCGGTTGAAGACAAGGCAGCGCTGCGAAGGGCCCGTGAGGCCGAGTACAAGCGGGTGAAGCGGGCCGCGGACATAAACATCATTATAGTGCGAATATACGCTCACATATGAGTGGAAACTCACCAAGATTTCCCGAGAGGGTCTAATGGTTCCTGGGAATCGCAGTGTGATCCCACGGGGGAGTTTACGTTAACTCACTGGCGAATGCCAACAGATTTTAACTTTACTGCCCCTCATAGCATCACCCTGTGCATTCGCACATAACCGTGTTCACCCTCGGAAAAATCTTTGGGAGTTTTTTTCAAGTAACCATGGAATTTGTTCGCTAGAAGAGCTTATTGCCTCACGAATTCAAAGCCGCAAAATTTTATGAATCCGCCCAGTGTAAGCGGAATTACTAAAGTTTGTCACCTGCTGCGATTGCATTATCTCTTCTCTCGCCCCAACAAAAGCGCTAGACGCTAAGCAGACAGTGGTGGCAGCGTAAACAAACTACTGCGCCTTGTGACCTGGAGTACGTTTTCTTTTCCAATGGAAAGTTTTTTCAGTGTGATCGTGTGCGCACGCGTGGACAAGTAGTGGCCTCGCGCGGCTATCTCGGTAACTTGATTTTTCGTCACAGATGCACAGACGATTTTTCGCTCACAACCATTGACGGGGCTGTCGCCGGTGGCGGGTTTTTCGTGACACGAGCTCTTTAACGCTATCGTGGTAAAACAGCGAAAGAACAACCAGTCGTCACACAATGCGAATAGCGTAACGAGTGGGCTGTCCAATGCTCCAACCCATTACAAAAGCTTGTTCTTATTTTCCTAATAACTTTTGCCCATACCCACTTCAGCCATAATTCCTCATCCTTGTCAGCCACTGCATGAAGAATCGGCACAAAATTTCTTGCAGGTGTTTAGCGAATACCACGCTTCTCACAAAAATGAAAAAAAAATATCATAGACAATGACGGCCTACTGCCTAAAAAATTTATTATTACTGCCCTAGTGGGTATCAAGCAAGTGTGATTGCAGTAGTTACCCAATGAGTGATTTGAAAGCCTCTGAAAGGCCGCACTTCTAGCTTTCGCTTTGACTGTGGTGCGCCTTCCGTTTTTTTTTTTCACTCGTACCCACGTCTTCAGCTAGCATTAGTAATCTACAATACCCCTTGTCTCTTTTGTAGCATATGTCCGTGAAGCTCGCCTGAAAACTTGGGATTTGCTGACTAACAGATGGTGGTGTGTGAAAACAGGGGAAAGAATGTGACATTAGACAGGACAGGCGCCGTAGCAGTGGCACGTTTCATCTAATCCGCAGGTCACCCCTGAAAATCGCTGCCACTTAAGCATTGATAATATGTCTAATGCAGTTGACAATGAGATAAGTGATTGCTGTGTACAGACACGCACTACGCAATGCAAAAATGGTCCTGTATTGCCGTACACAATGAAGTTTTGTGCCCATCCGGTAATATTTCTCACTTGAACATACGCAATCGGCGTTCGTAACAGTCATTTCGCAATTTTTAGGCATGGCTCGTGGTACATATCAGTGTTTTTTGTATTATAAAAATTCTGTTAGTGCTGGTACCGCAGCTCCACTAAAGTCTCGGGCTTCTGGTGCGAGCGCATAGTTGAACTTATCTCACTCTGGGATGGTTTCGTATGTTCCTTATAACACAGCAGGTTTTTCAGTTAACACTACCAAATTATACGTACTTTCGAGAATCGATAGATTCTGAATTTGTACACCAATTATAACCACGGTAAGATTGTAAAACGATGATTGCGCAAACATATTCGATATAAGTGGTTGTCAAATGAAAAGAACATGTTTAAAAACATTGAATAAAGAAATTAAGGAAAAAGTGTGAGCGTCAACTTGATTGAGCATCTTCTTAAAATGTTTTTAAATGCGAAGGGTTTTCTTGCGTACTGCAATCATTTTTGGCGCGTACTTTGCTTACCTATCTATCTATCTATCTATCTATCTATCTATCTATCTATCTATCTATCTATCTATCTATGTATGTATGTATGTATGTATGTATGTATGTATGTATGTATGTATGTATCTATCTATCTATCTATCTATCTATCTATCTATCTATCTATCTATGTGGCCGCCTACGTCTGGCTGCTTTCGTGATCAACCCCTAACGTGGGGTAAACAAAAATTAGCAAGAGAAGGTGGTTCGATGAATGCGACCCGCTGGTCATGAATAGTGCCACAATGCCGTCGCTCACGTCGTCAAACACTTTTCGCCGGGCAGTGTTACCAACCCGTCCACGGGTAAGTGCAACAGGTCATTCACACGTCATATCTAATCAGGAATGGCGCAACACACATGGGTGAGTTCAACGCATGAGCGTTAAGAAAAAAAAAGACATAGGCAGCGTAGACCCAACGAATGCAAACAAAAAAAATTGCCCGCAGCTTCCCTCGGGGGAACACTGAGGAGGATGCGGAAGCATGTAATTGGTTAACGGGTGTTAAATTGCGACTTACTTGGGTCGATGGCTAAATTGGTTAACGTGGTTGTGAAATGGGGTGTTAAATGAGTGAACATGTGCGTTGGGCGTGGCATACTGCTTGGCGCGCCACGCCGCTACCTCGGCGCGCTTGCGCTCGCGGGCAGCATCGGGATCGGCCTCTCGTCGCCGACGCTTGCACTCGGCTTCCCGTTTTCGAAAGTCCGGGTCCTCTTGTCGACGCTTACGTTTCAAAGCGGCCGAATCCGGTGGTGCTGCTCGACGCTGACGTCTCTCAGCGGCTTCACGTTCTCTAAGTCGAGAATCTTCCGCTCGACGCCGACGTTTACGTTCGGCGTCGCGAGCTCTTCTCCGCGCTGCCTTGTCTTCGGACGACGACTTGGTTGCGGTTCCGCCAACACTTTGGCCGGCGCTGGTCGAAGGGACGTCGATCATTCTGTTTGTGGATTCGTTGGCATTCATTTCACGGCGACTTCGGACTGCTGCTCGACACTGACGTCTCTCAGCGGCTTCACGTTCTCTAAGTTGAGAATCTTCCGCTCGACGCCGACGTTTACGTTCGGCGTCGCGAGCTCTTCTCTGCGCTGCCTTGTCTTCGGACGACGACAACGACTTGCTTGCGGTTCCGCCAACAGTTTGGCCGGCGCTGGTCAAAGGGACGTCGATCATTCTGTTTGTGGATTCGTTGGCATTCATTTCACGGCGACTTCGGACGTCGACGCGCAGTACAAACCAACGGACGAGCGGCAACTGAGCGAGCGAGCGCCGACCTTGAGTATATATACAGCACGACGGCGCATGCGCTGTCAGCTGTGGAATGTTCTCGAAGGAGAAGCGCGCGCGGCACAGATGGTGGGCGACGGCGCATGCGCGTGCGTCAGCTGTCGAATGTTCGAGAAGCGGTGCGGACGGCGCACTACAAGGCGCGAGTATAAGATGCTTCCGCATCTAAAAATGTCACGGTTCTAGCAGCAATTGAACTCCAGCATTGTGCGTGACAACTAAGAATTATAAGACAGAGGCCCGCCAGATCTTGTGAAGCGTCAACTGGGAATCCGATGATGGCAATGGAGTGTTACGAACATTACAATAAACTCTTGCGATACAGCCGTAACGTCGCGTTAAGAGCAACTGTAGTTAAGCGCAACACACTGAATGTATGATTGACTGTTTACGTCAACTAAGGAATGGCAGGAACAGACATTATAATTCTATTTTGAAGGTGTTAAGAAAAACAAATGCATCTCCACAAAGTGGATGACGACAGGTCCTAAGGTTCATATTGTCTACGTTTTAG